GGACTTTGTTGAACATAATCACAAATAACCCCCGCGGCGTCCATAATGAGACTGAATAGATTCTTTACAGCCGATTCCAGAAGCTCGGTATCTTCATACAATATCTCTTCGAGGGCTTGCTGAGCAAAAGGGAGTACGCGTTGAATTTGGCCAGCAAGTTCAGAAACCATGCTATCGCCTTTTTGTTGCTCTTTCAAAAGCTATATGGAAACGAGTTATTTCACTCCCTATGAAGCGTAATCTTACATACCTCGAATGTGGCAGTAACAACGGCGAATGCGGCCTTGGCGAATGGATTCATCTTGGAGCAGTTAGCGAGAAATATCATTTATATGACAAGGAGGCATACTTCTGAAAGAGCCGTACCGTATTTGACGGCCGTTTCGACTCTTTGTTGTGTCAAGATGCCCATCAGTGGACGGTGCGTCTCCATTGCCAGCTGGAGTTTATCGACTGCTGCGCGCGTCGCCCCAAACTATGCCAATGGTCGATACCCGTTCAGTGGAAGATGTACGTATTTGAACACTTACCGTAGGAGAAGGGTTGAAATTCAGCACAAATGTTATTTCTTGTTTCCCAAAACTTATCGTCTCTGGTTCAATGGGTCAGTACGATGCACGCTCGAGGCCATCCTCATACTTGATATAGAGTCTTTCGATTCCCAGAATGTATTGAATATTTCTTGTCCATTGAACGTAGCTTCAGACTCTCGCTTATTCCAAAATTGAGCGGATTTGTTTCCTTTAATGACGATGGTGATAGTAGAATTCTGAGATATTTCACTGAGAGTGACCAGATGAGCTAGAAATCTCTTTTCCCAGGGTTTCCTATAGGATGACTTACAGGCGGCGAGATGGGTTCCACGCCGACATCTTTGCCTTTCTCCGAATCTCGACGGGTGTTGACTCGATAAGCAGCTCAATATCATACTTGAACTTTTCGCCAGTTTCGATATCAATCTCTTTTGTCTACATTGAGACGACTATTTTCGATCCAGCGACACACTCACGGCGGAGATACAAAGCACTGTGAACATGTATGTTAGCGCTGGCGTAAGTCACAGTATACGAGACCACCAACCGGGTACTTTCGTTGGAACTAGGTGCGTCTATATCCATAGATTTTCAGTCGAAGCTCTGGTTATACTGGCGTCTATTCGGGCAAATCGTGTTAGGCGGCTGGTCAAGGTAAAGCGGTGAATTGAAGGCGCAATTCTTGCGGCGCGGCTTTGTTTGCTCGGTGCCTAGCTCGGGGCATGAGCGGCGATGTGGAATTCACCAAGGAACTTTGTGATGCACTTTATTCCTAAACTCTATCTACCAACTATATCGCATCTACAAGGCCAGTTTACAGGTGAGGCGGTTATTAAAGCAAGGCCAGACCGGGTGGCGAGTGCTCATCCTCGACTCTTATGCTTCAGCGATATTGATGGTGGATGTTGATCTAGTTCGATGATTTGATGTATTCAGGAGGATAGATGTGCCGACCAACAGGGACGATGCATCGCGATCTTAGCCAGCAATTACACGAAGCGCCGTCTAACTAATAAAACTGGAAATAGTGGTATTCTTTTAAATCGACAATATAAGCTTTGCTAGTCTGCGTTTTACATATTCTGAGGTGAAGGTCGTGATGGTCAACCTTTACACCAGCTTTTGTATGGCAAGTATACCAAGGAGATATCAGGGTCGACTCTATTCGACCCTTTGTTGAACATTTTGGGAGATTATAACAAATGGTTATTGAGAACACCTATTTATCGATCGTACTCACTGTCATGAGCACCTTTCCTTTAGCGAGTTTGATATTTCTAGTTTTATGGAGAGCAGAATCAGTATTATGCCAAGTAAGCATGCATATAGCCTAGGATAGGTAGGACCCGCTGAGATGAAACGCACAAGCTTGAGCCCATACATTCCACACAGACGCTTGCCGCTCT